TTGGTCTATAGTTCCAAGATTTCACAGCTGTCTTGCAAATTACATTTTAAAAAACTGCCTAAGTATTTAAGGGGAGCTCTTTCCTAAAGGGATCTTTTGATAAGGAGCAAATTGCCTCTGGTATTAATTTGCTTATGATGACTCAGTGTGACACAGGCTTTATGAGCTGCTCTGGCTGGAGGCATAAAGATAACACTAATGAGGGCTTACAATGCATTGAGTAGAATTGGAGTCATCTCATCAATCACTTTCACTCTAACCAAGCCTTGAAAACTAGTAAGAACTATATCCTCTCCTTATTCGTGGGGGGGAGGTGGATAGGTGTATGTAGAAGCCAAGGGACACCCTTGGGTAATCAGGTGCCATCTTTAAAAAAACAAAGAGAGAAAGATTCATTTATGTGTATGTATGTGTGCCTGAGTGTGTATGTACATCACACGTGTGCAAGTGCTGTGGAGGACAGACAGAAGAGGGCACCAAGTCCTCTGGAAGGGCAGCAAATGCTTCCAACTACTGAAACTCTTCTCTAGCCCTCCATTCCCATTTGATGCCTGCCCTGGAGCTCGATGAGTAGGCTGGCCAGAGAGCCCCAAGGCTGATGGCCTGAGTTAAATCTCTAAAATAGTGGAAGGAGAGAACCAGATTCTTTTCTCAGGTTAGAATAGATCAAGATACTAATGCAGAGTGCATATAGAACTGTCACAGGAGCCAGAGGTGTGGTGCATCCCAGTAATTCCAGGATCGTGCAAGTGCAAGCAGAAGGATAGAGTTTGAGGCCAGCCTCAACTACACAATGAATTTGAAACCAGCCTGAGCTACATGAGACCTTCTCTAAAACACACACACACACACACACACACACACACACACACACACACACAAAATGGACTAGAAAGATGATTTCAACATTTGAGAGCATGTATTTTCTGTCCACCCACATTTGGCTGCTCCCAAGTGCCTGTAACTCCAGTTCTAAGAGGCCCAATATCCTCTTCTGGCCTTCATGAGACACTTGCACACACATGGTACACATAATCACATGCAGACACACATACATATACATCAGCAGTAAATCAGGTTTTGTTTGGGGGTTGTATTATTATTATTATTATTATTATCACCCAAACTGTCAAAGAATCCAAAATATTTACCCATTCAAAACACGGTCTCTTCAGGAATGTCTTGGATAAGTTTCTTCATATTCCTTGAGCCTGGCCACAAGTTGTCATATTTCAAAGAATTTGATGAGATGTAGGAGACATGTCAGTCTCGTCAGCAGTTAGAAAGTAGGCTAGGATCTGAGTGAGCATATGCTTCGTTTCTGGATTTACAATCGGCTGTTGTAGGGTATCTGTGCACTATGTGATGATGTATTGCTGTGATTGGTATAATAAAAAGCTGAACATCCAATAGTTAGGCAGGACTTCTGGGCAGAAAGAACTCTAGGAAGAAGAAAGGGGGAGTTGACAGTCAGACATAGAGGAAGCAGGATGGGCAGTGCAGAGATGAGATAGCAAGCCTTGTGGAAGAAAGTAGGTTAAAAAATATAGAGCTGGGCATTGGTGGTTCACACCTTTGATCCCATCACTCAGGAGGCGGAGACACATGGATCTCTGTGAGTTCAGGGCCAGCCTGGTCTACAGAGCGAGTTCCAGGGCAGGCTCTAAAGCAATACAGAGAAATTCTGTCTTGAAAAACTAAGAAGAAGGGGGGAAGGGGGAGTGTTAATTTAAGTTATAAGAACTAGTTAGGAACAAGCCTAAACTAAGCCAAGCTTTTAAAATTAATAATAATCTCATGTCATGGGCTGGAGAGATGGCTCAGAGGTTAAGAGCACTGTCTGCACTTTCACAGGTCCCGAGTTCAATTCTCAGAAACCACATGGTGGCTCACAACCATCTATAATGAGATCTGGTGCCCTCTCCTAGCTTTCAGGCATATATGCAGGCAGAGTACTGTATACATAATAAATAAATCTTAAAAAAATCTCATGTTATTATTTGCATGCTCAGTCTGACAAGAAAATACTGTTATAATCAGTAACTGGCCATTTGACTTTATGAAAATTAACTTTCTCAATTTTTCATTTTTATTTTCATGTTTTAAACTTGAGGATATTAATTTCTTCTTTATAGAGCTGTATCAAAGTTTAATTAGACATTACAAGTACTGGTATATTTCTTGTTATGAATTAGATATTCAATAAATATGAATTGAGCCCCAGCACTGTAGAAAACTTCTTTCAGAAACCAGCTCCTGAACATTTTAATTTACAGGAGAGTTCCCATAGCCAGGTACAGTGGTGTGGCCTGTAGTCCTGGTACTTGGGAGGCTGAGACAAAAGATTACTTTAAGTTTGAGGCCAGCCTGGTCTAATAGCAAGTTTCAGGGCAGCCAGATTACATCAGAAAGCCTTGTCTCAAATGAACAAACAAATAAAAAAAGAAGGAAAGAAAGGGAGAGAGAGAGAGACACAGACAGAGACAGAGAGACAGAGAGGTTTTCCAGGAATGTGCAGTGGGTGCCAGCTACACAAAATTCCTGGGTGTTTACTTAACCAAGGGTACTACTCCCTGCCCTGAGAGGAATAAGTAGATACCAGAAGGTTAACCACTGGATGACTCCCTATTCTGGGTGTAGCTGGAATTTACCTCAAGCACGCACTCCAGTCCTCTTCTAGGCTGCGTTTTTTGTTTGTTTTTTCAAGACAGGTTCTTCTGTGTTATAACCTTAGCTGTCCTGGAACTCATTTTGTAGACCAGGCTGGCCTCAAACTCATAGAGATCTGTCTGTCTCTACCTCCCAAGTGCTGGGATTAAAGGTGTGTGCCACCACTGTGGCGTGACCCCCAGCTGCATTTTCAGAAAGTTATCAAGACCGAACTTTATTCCTGTTCTTGCCATTACACTCCTTAGGGATCTTCTCCTCTGAACCCTGATCAAGAGACAGCCATTACACAGGACATCATCAAAAAGTCCTCTGAGGTGTTTCTACTTTCTTCGTCTTTCCCTTCCTAAACTATCCACTTTATTTCCCTCCTTTGACCAGTTGCTTCTGTCATTTTCTCAATCACATTAGCCCAATCTCACTGACTGATATAGAACATGATGTTGGGATGGGAGGACGGAATGGTGCAGAAACTGACCGGGACAATGAGGCAATTGCTATCTAACAGGCAGTTAGAAACTGCGTTTGTTAAAGAGCGCTGATTCCTCACTTGGGCCTATAAGATGACTAAAAGCAGGATAAAGCCTAGCATCTTTGCTTTCATTTTGTGTGTGTCTTCCTGCTTTGGGTTGCCTAGTTACCTCTGCGTGTAGGCATGCTCATCATTCAAGGAATGCCTATCTAGAAACCCATGATGTCTCATCCCCCTACAAGGATAAAGGCATAAGAATAAAGTAAATGAGACATCTTATAGTCAGCTTTTACAATTACTCCCCTGTAGCCAGTCTTTCTTTGGACTGCTAGCTCCCAAATAATGGCACGGAGACTTCTTATTGATTATGAAAGCTTAGCTTTAGCTTAGACTTGTTACCAACTAGCTCTTATAACTTAATTAACCCGTTTATATTAATCTATATTCCGTCACGTGGCTCATTACTTCCTTTATACAGTATGTCCAACTCACCCGCCCTTGGCAAATTCCCTGCCTCTCAGATCCATCCCCCTTCATCTCTCTGCCCCAAAGGCCTGTTCATCCTCTCCTGCCTATCTATTGGCCATTTGGCTCAGAAGGAGCCTCCGCAAAGACACATTTTTCACAGTATGCAAAAAGACTAACCGACCACAGTCCCCAAAGGCACCTGAGTCACCTTGGATTCCATGAACATCCGAGCATCCCAGGTCAGAACAGCTCCCTCCTTGAGGGTATCCCATCCTTGGGAGGCTGCACCCCGGAACATCTTCTGAGGATGATATTGTCCCCTCAGGCAAAAGAGACTCCCAGGACCACTTTGCAGAAACAGACTGAAACAATGAGCAACCGACACGTCATGACTAGCGTTGCTCAATTATACACGCTTCTCGCTCCCTGCCCCTGTTCTTCCTCTGACTAAACCTAAAGCTCCCCGGGCGTTGGTGGCACACACCTTTAATCCCAGCACGCGGGAGGCACAGGCAGGTGAATCTCTGTGAGTTCGAGGCCAGCCTGGTCTACAGAGTGAGTTCCAGGAGAGCCTCCAAAACAATACAGAGGAACCCTGTCTGGAAAAACCAAAAAAACAAAACAACAACAACAACAACAAAAAACCCTAAAGCTCACGTGGGCTTGTTGGTCCCTTTGTCTGTTTCCTGAGTGTGTGCATTAGTGAAATCTATCTCTGCTTTTCCCCCTTTACACCTCTCTTTGTGTTAGGGCACCGCCCCCTGGGGTGATTTATGACCTTTTCTGACCTGAGTTGGTCTTAAAAATCAAAACAGAACCCTCACGTAGCACCGACTGGTCTTGAACTCAGGATGTAGCTGGCTGAAGGTTACCTTAAATTTCTGATTCCCTTTCTTCTGCCTCAAGTCCTGGAATTGCAGGCATGCACTATCACACCCAGTTTATGCAGTACTTGGGATCAAATCTAGGGCTTCGTGTGTGCTTGAATAAGCATTCTTACCAACTCACAACTCAGCCACACCCCCAGTCCCTTAGCTTTTATCTGTCTTGCAGGACAAGTTTAAAATGTTGATATCATACCCTCGCATTAGTAACCAAGGGTATAAAGACAAGGCTTGCTCCGTATTATATGTCTTTTTACAAAAGGCCCGCCACGCAAGAAGGAAACCTACTATCAAAAAAACCTCTAGACAGTCTTTCTAAATTCCAGAGGGTCGCGGGCAGGTATGCACAGGAGCAGAGAGCAGTTTTCTCAGCCTACTCCTGGTAACTGTACCCTGTTATAAAACCCTTCCCATTGTAAAGAATCAGGTCCGTGTGAAGCCGCGCCCTTCTTCCTCGAACTACAACTCCCAGCATGCAGCCTACACCGAGAGTACGCAAGCGCATCGGAGGGGACGGGGTGGGGGGAACGAGCAACACAGACAGCGCGGTCGGGTTTTGGGGGCAGCTGGAGGGAGGATTCGGCACCTCCCAGAAGCTGAGGCACCGCGGAGCGTGGGCGCAGAGAAGAGCGAGTTAAACCTTGCGGGCTGTGCAGGAGGTCGGCGGCCGGACGCCAGCAGGTGAGTTCAGCACAGTGCTTTCCAGGAAGTCCGTCGGCGGGCGCGGCAGCGGGTCGCTCCGGCCTGGGCGACCGAGGAGGGAGCGGCTGTGCTTCCCGCCGCCGGGCTGTGGCGCCTTCCCCGCGGGCCTCGCTAAGGAACCGAGGGTGCCGTGCCGTTCCGGGACGGCGAGGTGTGCCGGGTGTCGCCGGCGGCCAGGCACGCAGGCTCCGGGCTGTCGGTGAGTCACTTGCCGCCGGCCGGAGGGGGTTCGGGACCGGCCGGCTGGGGTTCGGGGCCCGTCACCCCGTGTTCGGGACGGTCTGCCTGGGGTTCGGGACCGACCGGCTGGGGTTCGGGACCGGCTGATGCTCTAGATCCCGCTTGGGCTGGGGAAGTCGTCTGGGAAGCGCCCCTCTCCCCGCAGCCCCTCTACCCCAGCCATCTTCTCGCCGCCCTGGCTGTTGGTTGAGAGGGAACCCGCAGAACTTGGGACACACCCTTTTCGCGATTGAAATCTGGCCGTCTTACTTTGGCCATTTTGATCTCTGATCTCTGCTGTGCTTCAGAATCAAGTTCTGGCTCCCGTGCAGCACAGCTGGGGCCGGCTGTGAAGCTGATGCGGGTTTGTTTTGAGGACGTGACTGGATCGTTATATTTGTGCTTACAGAAGTTGATGTGTTTACTCCGCAAGCCTGCATTCTGGTTACAAACAGAAATGGGAAACGGCCCCAATTTTTTACTTTCCTTTTCTTCTCGTCTCTTTCCCCTCTTTTCTGTTTTCTGTCTTCTCATTCGCGTTTAAGCATCTCCTTTACCCTTTCGAATCCCACTCCCCCCCCCCCCCGTTTCTGTTTTTCGCCTCCCTCCCCCCCATGTCTTCTTTCATGTTTAACTAAGAATCGAATTTCCAACTTGCCCTCTGCTTCTCTTAAAACCCACAGTCATCTATTTGGTAATGAACACGGCAGTAAAACTTATCCCAAGAGGTCATACTTAAACAGGAAATGAGCCTGCGGAGATCTGTTAGCTATGTGAGGTCTTCTTTGGTTTCTGACATTTTTGTGCAGTTCGTTCTTTTTCTGAGAGTCCTTCAGAATAGTTTTTTGGCAGATTAAATTGATTAATCAATCGACCTGCTGGTATTTTAGGAAAATAGCTTTGCTCCGACTCCTTTTTGTTAGTTGCCTCTTCCTAGTCCTGTCACACATTTTGCACACGAATACACTCCTTTTTAGTATTTTGGGCTAGTCTCACTATGTAGTCTAGGCTGGCCTTTAGCTCATTCTTTTCCTGTCTCAGCTTCCCAGTACTGGAATTACAGGCGGGGCCATTAAGTCGTAAAGAGCCCACAGTTAGGGTCTGGAAAGATGACTCAGAGGTTAAGACTTGTTGATCTTCCAAAGGACCTGGGTTTAGTTGCCAGTACCCCACATCAGAGCCTAAACCAGCTGTAACTCCAGTTACATCTGGTACCCTTTTCTGGTCTCCACAAGCACTGGACACATGGTGCACATACAGACAAGCTGGCACACACATACACATAAGTAGAGTTTTTAAAAAGAGCCACAGTTACAGCTAGAATCCCATCTCAGGCTCTACAGATCTTAGAACTTCCTTGCCTTGCATTTCTAGTTTTTCTTAGAACAGGATTGATGGTGGCCAGGTAATCCATGATTATTCTAGCCTTCTATGATGTGTGTGTGTGTGTGTGTGTGTGTGTGTGTGTGTGTTGTGTGCAGTTGGGTCAGTGCGTGTTCATGTGTGTTCACACATGTGTGAACATGCATGTGGAAACCTGAAAGTTAATATCATGTCTTCCTGGGTTGAATCTGCTGAACCATATCCCTTGTCCCTCTTTCAATAATTATTTAAAAAATAATAATCCATTTGGGAAACCTTGGCTAAATGTGTATCACACCAACCCCTGTGCTGGGCAAGAGCAAACAAAAGTGAGTTCTTGAGGATATTACCACCCTATAGCTGAGTTTTCTTTCATCTTTGTGGTAGACCACTAAGCCATATTTTGACTGATATTAAATACTTAGAGGTCAACATTAAATACTTATAGGTCAGATCCCATCACTGTTCTTGGTTTTCAGTGTAATCACAATTTTTTTTCAGACTGGGGCTGTAGTTCAATAATTAAATGCTTGGCTAGCGCATATAAGGACCTGGGTTTGATTCCAGCACCACAAAAGCCAAAAGACAGTTTTTAACTCCCAGCTACTGGTTTATTTAAACAACGGGTCAGTATAACAGAAAGGGCCTTAGGGCCTATATTGTGTAGGGGCAATGTTTTTTACACTTAACATGCATAAATCGCCATACCCGTTCATTTTGAAGTGAAGTCTGGAATTTGCATATCTCAAAGTTGGTAGAAATCACTCTTTGAAAACCAACATGGGAAGAGTGAATTCTGGAGATATTTTAAAGTGCTTAAGATGACTCTTTTAAGACAGGTGCTGATAATTGTGACATCAGATATATATTAAAGACCTGTTTAATTTTCAATTTAAAAAAAGTTGTTCCTGACAGGGTCTCACGAGGCCTATATTAGTCATCTGTCCCCTCAGGTCATCCGTTTCTGTAATGCTGGCGTGTATGTGGTGTATCTGCATAGAGTGCTGCAATTTTGTCCATTTACTTGGAATTTAAGGTGAGCTGAACACAGGAAGATCTAAGCTCTAAGCACAGTTATCAGTAGGGGGTGTCTGTAGGTGTAAATGTATAACTGGGATAGAGATCTATAGAGGAAGGGGAAAAGATAAAGGAGGTAGAGATAGTGGGGGAAATGGGTTTTAGCAGTGTTCTGTGTCAGTCTGTACTCTGCTGTTATTGTTTAGGCTTGAATTAATGAACTTCCTGCCTTGTCTTCCAGAGTGCTAGCATGTGCCACCTCTCAGGAAATTTTGCTTTGTTTTGTTTGTCTTGGGTTTTACTTTGTAGCCCAGTCTGCCTGGAACTCACAATGCATAGGTTATTTGCTCACTACAGCAGCCTTCTCCACTCAGCCTCTCAAAACACTGGAGTTAGAAATGTCTGCTACCACACCTAGCTCGATTTTCCTGATGAGAACTGTGCAGGGGGGACATTATTGTGTTGCTGTAATTGTAGCCAAAGCAGTGTGTCATTGCTGGTCATTGACCTGCCTTGTTGACATTTGAATTGTGTTTGCTCTGCATGGTTTTACGTCAAATCCTTTAAAATTGTAAGTATAAAATCATATTGAAAGGAAAACAATATAGAAAACAGAAATGTCCCAGCACTGGGGAGGCAGAAGCAGGCAGATCTCTGTGAGTTCGAGGTCAGCCTGGTCTACAGATCGAGTTCCAGGACAGTCTCTAAAACAATACAGAGAAACCCTGTCTCGAAAAACCAAAAAAAAAAAAAAAAAAAAAAAAAAAAAACAAGAACAAGAAAAGAAAGAAAACAGAAATGTTATTTGTGATAGTCCATTCTCCTGTTAGATATTAAAATTGTGAGTCAAATTCTGTTTGCTAATTATTAAAAGCAATTAAATCTGAGTATACACTCTTTTATCTGTCTGAATCCATTAGGAAGTGTATATGTGTGTATATATACTCACATGGGTGTGCATTTGTGTCTAAGCCAGGTGCCTTTTGAGGGGACAGGGTCTCTCTATAGCACAGGCTATCCTGGAACTCACTACATAGACCAAGCTGGCTTCAAAGTCACATAGATCCCCTTGCCTTTGCCTCTGAAGTGCTGGGATTAATGGTGTGCAGCACCACCACAGTTTCTACCTTATTTTCATTCATTCATTCATTCATTAAGACAGGGTTTCTCACTGAGCTTGGAGCTCCCTGAGCTCAAGTCAGTAAGGCTGACTGATTAGTCAATCACTGTGCTCCAGGAATACTCCTATCTCCTCTTTCCCAACTCTGAGATTGCAAGCACACACTGCCTGATATTTCTATGGGTACTGGGGATCAAACTCTGGTCTTCATGTTTGCATGGTGAGTACTTCACAGCTGAGTCTTTGTCACAGACCTCTTTTTGCTTTAATAGTTAATAGTAATGAAGGAATAGAACTTCGAATAATCCAAAGTGGTAAATAGTTGTAAGTACACGCATTACGGTATTCTAGAATTTCTTTGGGAGCAAAATCATCAGCCCGTATCTTTATTTTTTGGGGGGTTTTCCAGACACGGTTTCTCTGTATTGTTTTGGAGGCTGTCTTAGAACTAGCTCTGTAGACCAGGCTAGCATCAGACTCACAGAGATTCGCCTGCCTCTGCCTCCTGAGTGCTGGGATTAAAGGCGTGTGCCACCAACTCCCGGTCAGCCCGTATCTTGAAAATAGAATTTTTACATTTATTTAGTGTGTATTGTATAGACACCCATGTGCCATGATGCATGTGTGGATGTCACAGGACAACCTGTGAGAGTTGGTTCTCTCCAACATGCAGATCCAGGTATTTTAACGCCTTTACCCGCTGAGCCATCTTGGTGGTCCCATCATTAACCTATATCTTGAAGTGGAGTGCTGCTCTTTTTACGATTAGTGTTTCTTACATCCTGACCAAGAAATTTAGACCTACCCTTAAGGTGATATAGATACTAAGATTTCTTTACAGGGTCTCATGTACCCCAGTCTGGCCTCAAACTTACTGTGTTGAAAAATGATTTTAAGCTTCTCAAGTCTTCCTGCCTCTACTTCCCAGGTGCTGGAATTACAACCACAGACCACCACACCCAGCAGGATGTGCTGCTTTCTTGTTCTGGGGTTTTCATGTTGGTCTATCTGTGATCCATCTTAAATATTTTAGTGTTATGAGTGGAAAAGGTTTGCCTTTTTGTTGTTTTGAGATGGAGTGCCACTCACCAGCCCAGGCTGGTCTTTAACAGCAGTCCCCCTGTTTCCTCTTCCCAAGTGCAGGGCTTACAGGCATGGACCATCATGCTTGGTTAGGTTCACTTTCTGTTCACTCACATCTTCACATTTCTCTCTCATTATTAGACAGTAATTTTATTGAAACCAGGCACTTGTAATCTTA